TATCCTAAAGTAAACACCTATTTTTCAAACAGCGGATAAAACGGGAAAGCTCGTGAGAGAAAAATTCGTTTTTTTTAACCATTCATATGTTTTTGCATTATTTATACTCTTTGTAATTAAGTTCTAGATTTTTTTTCATTCTTTGTGCTAAATTCTACGTTTTCATATTTTTAAAATCAGTGTTGTATTTATTTACACTGTGTTAGTTACATTGTTTACATGTATTTACCTGTTTACTTGTGTTTTGTTGCATTTATTTGCATTGTTTACTTGCATTATATTGTGACCGTGTAATAAACCTTAAGTAAACTTTAGAATGGAATTTTGGCTGGCCTATATGTTATTATTAGTGACCTATAAGTTACTGTATTTGTTGCTTCTATTTTGAATTTCATCGTCCAAAGAAATCTGTTATTCATTTTTCTTTTAGTAAACTTTAATGAAGAAGTTTAAAAATTTCTCAAAGATGCGAACTTGAACACTCACAACAAAAATGTCATGAGGTGATGGTGCTCTTTTTAAAGTGCATAAAATGTCCCCCCCCCGAAGAATAAATAGAGTAATAATCAAGCAGGAAAAATAATTAAAAGAAAAGGCTTATCTTGCTGTATGACGTTATTAGTTTTCCAGCTTATATGTGTAGCTTCAGACGTGCTATTTGCCCTTGTCTACGCTTTTTGAAACTTTTATATTATTTTGTTTATTTTCTATTTTAAATGTAAATTACGCTAGCAAGATTTTCTGTTTTAAATGTAAATTATGTTAGCAAGGTTATTTAAATGTTTTAAAGTTTCTCCAAAAACAGACACAGTATTGTAAAAATAAAATGAGAAATAAGTCATAAACTTAACTAACATATTTAAATTACATATTTTTAATATTTAAAATAAAATATAGCTATTATGCTACCACATTACTTAGAGTGTCAACGTCTAGAACAGCAAAGAGAGTTACGCTAATCGTCCCGTGGTAATTTCTATTAAAAAATAATTAACTCAAATGAAGGTTTGCAATAAAATTATTATTATTAACCCCTTAGTATGATGGTTATACAAACCTGATAACACCAATAGAAATTCAAAATTTCCCAGCTTGTAAGAAATTCAATGCAAATTCAATTCAAACTAAAATACTAAATACAAAGTAGAACACACCTAAAATAACTTTTGCTCAAGACTCGAAATTTTCATGAAGCGTTTACGGTTACTTGAAGATAAAAACCAGTTAAGCAATTCGGATAAATAGTTAAGCAATTCTGGTAAATAGTAGGAAACTGTCTTAGAATAACTCGCTAACGATAGCTGCTAAAGCTTTCCTTTTCGAACATGAGAATTCCACTATTGTATGCTTTAACTAATTTGCATCCTTGTAGGAGTTCACGAAAATAGAAGTAAAGTCAAAATAATAATACTGTAACTGGTTTAATTAATATAGACCCTTACATAACTGTTTAAAATAATAAATTGTATTGAATTTAGAAGTATTAATGCACGGTTTCAGAAATTACGTGAAATATCTATTGTTTCATCTTTAAACCTAAAAATATAAATCAGAACAAAATTTCATGTTTTGTAATTTTATGTTCAAGTTATTTCGTTAAAAAAAATTGAGCAAATTTTTGTGAGCCTAATTTTATATTATTTAGCTCTGGTGATGCGTTATCACTTTTATTTTAGCTACTGGAGCATTTCCTTGCTGCTTATAGGAATACTGTGTTACTGGCATACGAAGTGTGCTACAGGATGTATTGTGGCGAATAAAACGTTAACGGAAATGACCAAAACTATAAAGCGATAAGGAATTGCTAGTTAATTTCGTAATCTGATTTGATCCTATAGCAAACTGACACATTCGATTCGTTCATTTTATACATGTGCTAATTTCTATACCATAATTGTTTGGTAATTTATTTTTATGTTATTTTATACCTTACTATGTGTTGTGTATTGTGGGTAAGTTTCATGAAATTCTACATGTAACTTTTTCAGTAATCGTGATTTTTGTGATTTTTCCTAAATTTATGATAACCAGTGTATTTTCAAATATATTGTGTAAAAATATTTGGTAATTGTAAAATTATTATAATAAGTTAAGGAAATATCAAAACTTCTAAAATATTTGGCGAAACTTCTAAAATATTTGTTTCTTAATAAACTTCTAAAATATTTGTTGCAATTCCCGCGACACCCAAAGGGGTCGCTATCCACAGTTTGAGAAACCCGATTTAGAATATTTATGAGTAAAAAATTGCTTGCCAAGTTTTTTCAGAAGGTGTTATGACTTTCGTCTATACCTGACAACAATTTGTATATCATTTCCTCTTATCGTTTATAAATAAATTTATTCTTCTCCCCCCCCCCAAATGGCGAATGTAACTGAGTGAAGAACATGCATTTAAACTTTTGGATGTTTTCGCAATGGAGTTTCTGCTGTAAAACCATTTAAAATATTTCAAAGGCCTTTGAGCACAGCACCTTTACCCATAACAAGAGCTTTTGAGTGGTTTAGATGATTAATATAAAGGTAGAGAAGGCTTCAAAGCCGAATCATGCTCTAAAAGATCACCAACTTCATCTAATCATAGATCAGTCGTGCCAGACATAGATCAATCGTGTCAGAAATGTGACGCTTAGCAAGCGTCACTAAACAATCACATATAACATCTAACGAATTCCTATATCATTTGAATCCTATGTAGCAATTTGAGTTAAATTTGGACTTGCTACGCGTCGCGTTGGGTTGCTACAAAAGGTGCATTTTTCTCAAAAACAATGTGTTCTAGCAATTCAGGGGATTTTTTTTCTCCGGTAGAAACTTGAAACGCATTATTGCCGATGATAAACCATTCTGCTTTTTTAATCAGCTCAAAATGGCTGTCGAAAAGTGAAGACCTACAATATCACGTGAAATTCGGCCAAAAATGAAGAAACTGATTAGTGGTTTTTACTGATTGTCAAGGTATCATAATTTGAACTTACTTACCAGTCTCTTAACAAGGAATATTTTTTTAGTATGTAGCGGCGTTTGCAGTAGTTCACTGAAAACATCTGAATTTTGATGAGATAACTGACAGAATTTGCCTCACAATAATGCATGGGCCCACCCACAGTGCTTGTTGAAACTCTCACCGACAACCACGTGATTTGCGCATGCGCGCAGCAAAAACTAAAAACAGAACTTTTTAACTGAACTTTGAGAACTTGTGATGGACGTTTGAGTGAAACATGTAATCATTATCTTCTGTGTTATACATATATATTTTAGTTTAGTGATGTGATTGTAAATTAAATATCTTATTATCTTAGAAGCCTCTCTCTTTCTGTGAGTAGTGCATCGATGAATGAAATAAACATTCCCGGATATGCCTTTGGATTAGAAAGAAGATCGATTAAAAGGTAAGTCCTTTTACCTTTTATTTTATAAGAATGATTATAGTGTTAATCATATCATGAACATTGCATTTTTTGGCACCCCGTGCCGCGAATGAAAGCGAATTGTTGATACTTGTTGAATTATTGAATATTAAATAATGACGGAATTCATCGATACATTGAAAAGGAAACGCGGCCACATAAGGGCTGCCGTTACAAAATTAATTGGCCGAATCGAAACTGAATTACCAAAAACAGAAGTGAATGCATAGGAAGCTAGAAATTTTCCTTAAAACTCTTAAATGAAAAATCGAATACGAGTTAAAATAAATAGATGCCGATATAGAAAAATTAATAGACATGAAAGGATCTGGACCAGGAATTAAACGGTGTTGACGAATATCGTAAAAGAATAACTACATTTAAATACTAACAAAGCTAACAAAAAATTGAAAGAAATTAATATAGAACACCAAAAATTTAGTGTGTTAAGAAGCACTGAACAGTTAAGTGAAAGTATTATAGGAAACGTTAAAATCGAAAGTCATAATGTGAAGCTTGATAAACTTACGATTCCACAGTTTTATGGCGAGAGCTGCGAATGGCTGACATTTTGGAACACTTTTTCATCAGCCATACACCAAAACAAAACGCTTGACGCTATAAGCAAATTTAATTATTTGAAATCCTTTTGGGAGATACTGCTTATAACACTGTTGACGGTTTCGATTTAACCGAAGAAAATTACGAAACTTTAGTTAAACTCCTCACAGAAAGATTTCTAAATAAAGATGTACTGATAAACGCCCATATAAATAAATTACTGAAAATAAGACCTCTAAAGCAGCGTTTCCCAACCTTTTTTGGCCAAGGCACACTTGTCGCGGGGAAAAAAATCACGAGGCACACCACCATTAGAAAATGTTAAAAAATTAACTCTGTGCCTATATTGACTATAATAAAGTAATTCTCTTGAATAGGAATCAAATAAGCACAAAGAAAAGTATTTTATAATTACTTTATTATGAAATATTAAGTAAAAAGAATAGTGAAAAATTATAAAATACTTTCAGTGCGAAACCAAGGCCTGTTTGGCTGAACACAAAGCTGATATTCTGGCTGGAATCGAAGAAAGACACACACGTAGCTCTTCGTCAACAGTTCTCAGTCTCTCTCTGTATTTAGTTTTCATAGCAATCATGCTTGAAAAGCTAATCTCACACAGATATGTAGTGGAAAAAGGGAGCAATGTCAAAATAGCTTTGTTTGCCAGAAGGGGGAACTCCTTGGCAGTATCCAACCAAAAACTGTCCAAAGGTAGATCAGCAAATCCTAGCTTACAACCACGATTTTGTCTCAGTTCAATTAGTTCCTCCTGCTCCTGTAAAGTCATTTCCTTTCCAACAACTGATGCTGAGCTATAAGGGTCCCTAACCCAGTCAAGGCATTCAGTGGAGACTGAAGAGAAATAAAATGACAACTTCTCCTCAAGAGTTTTTAAATGCTTAACTATTATATCACACAGTGCAGCAGTGTGAACACCTTGCCATTGCATGGTGAGTGTGAACATTTCAAGATTGCCACTTTCCACGTGTTGATGCCAGAGTTGCACCTTTGAACGGAATCCATTTATTTTATCTGTACTTGTAAGCAGGTTTCATTTCGGCCTTGCATTCGGGTGTTCAATTCATTCAGATGATGAAATATATCTGCAAGGTATGCCAGCCTTGCACACCACTCATCACTTGCAAGCTGCTTTGCGTAATCTGACCCCTCATTTGTCAAAAACACTTTAAGTTCCTCCCGCAGCTCATACACACGAACCAAGGCCTTGCCACGCGACAACCACCGGACCTCCGTATGAAACAGCAAGGTTTTATGCTTTGCTCCCATCTCCTCACACAAAGCTGCAAATATGCGACTTTCCACGGGTCGTGACTTTACAATGTTTACCATGCGCACAACATCATCCAACACATGAACTAAGGCTGATGGTAAAGTCTTGGCTACGAGGGCCTCGCGGTGTAAAAAACAGTGCGTAATAATCACATCTGGATTTCTTTCCTTCACTCTGCTTACAAAGCCTTTGGTGCGCCCAACCATGGCTGCAGCTCCATCGGTGCAGACACTTGTGCAGTTTTCCCACTTAAGTCCTCCTTGTTCAAGGTATTCTGATGTGACCCGAAAAATTTCTTCTCCTGTTGTTTTTTCTGGCAATACCTTGCAAAAAAACGTTTTCTCTAATTGCATCACCATCAACAAAACGCACATTAGCTAAGAGTTGAGCATGTCCACTGATATCAGTAGACTCGTCAAGTTGCAATGCAAATTTCTCACTGATACGGATCTTTTCCAAAACCAAACTTTCGATGTCTGCAGACATGTCATTAATACGTCTGGAAATTGTGTTGTTTGAGAGATGGACTTTGGCTATTTCCGTTGCTGCTTCAGGTCCGAGCATCTCCTCTACAATAGCTTTGCAGGCAGGAAGTATTAATGTCTCTGCCACAGTGTGCGACTTTTTTGTCTTGGCTATAAGTTCAGCAACTTGATAACTAGCTTTAAGAGCTCTTTCATTTACCTTTGTTGTTTTTCTCATAAAAGTTGCCTTTTTCTCCATGTTGTCACGCAGGCGAACAAAATAGTCCACATTCTTGTTTTGAAGCAAAGGGTGTTTCGTTTGGAGATGGCGTTTAAGTTTGCTTGGGACCATAGCACTGTTAGCTAGCTTTCCACCACACACCACGCACAGTGGAATTGGTTTGTGTTCATCTCCAGTGAAAGTAAATCCAACTGAAATATAGCTTTCGCTATATTGCCTTGCGCCAGAGAATTTAACCATCTTTGCTTTCTTTTGACCCCACTCATACTCGGGCTCTCATCTGGCTCCAGATTTTGTTCAGAGTCCAGTTCTTTCCTTTTCAAAAACTTGTCCATCACTGCAGTATCAGTGTCTCTCTCCTCACAGCAGCCGTTGTCTCTCTGACATGTGTGAGGCGTCTGCTTGAGTCTCATGGGGGCGGGGACACGGCGGACACTTGTCAAGATTGGCAGGGGGAAGAGTTATAGCACTGCACAGCGCCGTGACCACCTATGACACTGGCGGGGGGAGTGACGGGAGGAGTTATAGCGGGCGAACAGCACCGTGACACCCAGACCCGGCGGCACACTACGGTGCTTCAGACGGCACACTGGTGTGCCGCGGAACAGTGGTTGGGAACCGCTGCTCTAAAGGATTCTAATGACATTCAAAATTTCCGTAAGTTATTCAATTACATACAAAAACATATTCGATGTCTTGAATCATTAAATATGACCTCAGAAACATATGGAGCTTTATTAACACCTATTTTGCTTAAAACATTGCCCGCAGATTTGGTTTTGGAATATAATAAAACATTTCGAAAATCAAATTACGATTTGAATCACCTAGTGGAATTTCTTTCTCAGCAATTAATTGCACGGGAAAAAAACAGCTTTGCAATCGAAAGAAGCGGCGTCAATTTCTCCCCCCCTCCCCCCGACAAACAAAACGCGAAAGCAAGCTGTCAACTTGGCATGATAAACGGGTACCAGATGTATCGTCTGCCTCGCAGTTGCTATCTACAAATGAGAATCAAAATTATAAACATTCGAACTACAAATGAGAATCAAAATTATAAACATTCGAACAGCATATTTTGCGATTCAGATCATGAAAGTTCTGAATGTCGGAATGCGAGTCGTTTAACCTTAGATGAAGAAAAGCAAAAATTGCTGAATCACGGATTCTGTTTTAAATGTTTGAAACAGAACCATATTTCCTGCTTATGCAAGACCAAAGTTAAATGTTCCAGATGCGGCAAAGCTCATTTTTCAGTAATGTGTAACTCTCACGGAAATAATTCTACAGACGTTATTGGGGATGAAAATAATAAAAAAAGACAGTGTTCTGACAAATAAATCTTGCATGCAGTTAGTAAATTTGCAAACTTTAGTAGTAAAACTTCGTGGGGATGGAATCGAAAAATATGTGAGAATTTTAATAGATAGTGGTTCCCAGCGATCCTACATTTCGAAGTATGCAGTTAGTATAATGAATTATAAAACAAGTGGTAAAGAAGAATTAATCCATGGTTTGTTCGGAGGAATTGAAAAGAAAGAAACTCATAGTAAATATTTAATTAGATTGAGTAGTCTTAAAGGTGATTATCACTGTAATTTTCAGGTTTTGGAATCAGGATAAAATATGTACTGACATTCTCAAATTCGTAGAGATACATATCTTATTGAACTGCGAAAACATGGAATTTATTTAACTGACATGCAGAATAAATCTGTGGATTTGATGTATGAAAAATCACCTTTAGAAATTCATGTTCTTTTAGGTGCAGATGTGGCAGGAAAGCTTCTAACAGGGAAAGGTTAGACAACTAAAATGTGGGTTATCATGCGTACACACTAGATTAGGATGGACAATGATGGGGGAAAACTGAAAAGCGTGAGTTCTCTGACAAGTACGAAAACTGTATTGTCACTTCATGTTAATGATGCTAAAATTTCGGATTTATGGTGTCTTGACTCGTTAAGAATAACGGATCCTGCTACAACCCACACAAGAAAGGAAAATTAATGAAATCGCTAAAAATTTTCGTCAGTCATTAAAGAGAGATAGTGAGGGTAGATATCAGGTCTCTCTTTCTTGGTTAGAAGGGCATGAGGTTTTACCTGACAACAGATTATTAGCAGAGAAAAGGTTAAAATCCTGCATCAAAAATCTTCAGTCAAAAAAACTGTCTGAAAGAGTATGAAAATATTTTTAACGAATGGACTGAAGAAGGTATTATAGAATCTGTTGAAGATAAGAAAACCGAAAATTGTCATTACCTACCACATAGGGTTGTAATTAAGGAAAGTTCAACCACAAAGATTAGACCTGTGTTCGATGCCTCAGCGAAGGAAAGGAATGGTGTGTCCTTAGAAAAGGGCCCAAATTATTTGGAATTAATACCGAGTATTTTAAACAGATTTCGCCTAGGTAAATACGGGGTTATCTCAGATATACGTAAGGCCTTTTTGCAAATAGGTGTCTGTCCTCGAGATAGAGACTTTCTTAGATTTCTCTGGTGGGAAGAAGGAGATTCCGAAAAATTGAAAATATATCGACATAAGCGCGTTGTGTTTGGCGTTAATGCCAGTCCTTTTTTCTCGCCGCCACACTGAATTATCATCTCGAGAATGTTCCTGAACATCAACAAGAGGTAGCTAAGAAATTAAGTGAATCAATGTACGTCGACAATTGTGTGGCCAGCGTTGATACTATTGAAGAACTAAACACTTTCATTAATGTGTCGAAGGAAATTATGTCGACTGCTAAATTTGATTTAAGGGGATGGTGTTACAATGAACCTAGCGGTGAAACTTTAAAAGGAAATCCTTGCAATGAAGACTCCGATAAAACCGTATCAGTTCTGGGGTTGAAATGGAATTTATCAAATGACACTTTGTCCTGTGACTTTAAAGATAGTTCTGTGAAACAGCCTGTCAGCAAAAGGAATATATTGTCAATAGTACACAGGATTTTTGACCTCGATTGGGTTTACAGCTCCTGTTACTCTGATTCCTAAGCTAATGCTTCAAGAATGCTGGAAACAGAAGATTTCATGGGATAACAATTTACCTAAAAGCATTTCTGATAAATTCGAAAGTTGGAAAAATAAATTGCACAATTTGGAAAAAATAGCTATACCCAGAAGAATTTTTGCTGACTCCGAAAGAATTTCCGATTTATCTTTTACACGTGTTTTGTGACGCTTAGTAAATCTGACTAAATATGCCACATGCATATTTATGCGAAGCTGTAATGAAAATTCCGTTACATGTCAGCTCATCTCAGCTTCGATCCAGAGTGGCACCTATCAAGCCGATTTCCATACCACGACTAGAGCTCTTAGCTTGTACGATTGGTGCTAGACTGGCACATCGTGTTAAGGAAGATTTGAGACTAGAAAGTTTGCCTATTTTTTGTTGGAGTGATTCTATGGATGCATTATTTTGGATAAAAAGGAATGAAAACTGGGCCGTTTTCGTTCACAATAGAGTGAAAGAAATGCGTACTCTAAGTAATCCAAACGAATGGAATTATATTCCTGAAACGCTAAATCCAGCGGACCTCCCTTCCCGAGGGCGTAATGGCAGACCGCACATTGAGATGTCGCATACTGCGCATGTCCAGAAAAAAATTTGGCGTAAGTACTATGTTGGCGCGATTTGAAAAGAGGATAAATACGGTATATGGTAATGGTACCGCCATCTGATTGTAAACAAATCTGGCGTTTAAATCTTCGTAGAGTATATGTGCAATGTAAAGTAATTACTGTGTAAAATTAGATATTTTTCTTGTACTGCTCAAACAACTGGAAAGTTGAACAATACGATCAAGTTTAAATTCGATTGAAGAGGGCAAAAAATGGGTAAAGGAAGTCAGCGTAAATGCAGATGCCCCAGTGGATAGCGCAAGAGCTTGAAACCAAATGCTATTGCAAGATTGCTTTCAGGTATGTATATATTTTCGCATTTCAGTAAATTTGATATGTTATATGTGCAATATGTGATATGTTATATTTTAACACATATACAGTTCATTAACATTTCCTAAATTTCTATATAATGTAACATTAAGAAGTTTTAAGAAATAATTTGTTTCCTTACTGTTTTAATTTTTTCGAAAAGAAACATCATTTTCGAGAAACTTCAAGAAAGTTATTAGTATGTAAAGCGTAATTTTATTACAGCTAAAACTGATGCAAGGTACTTGAGTCTTTTATCTCAAAATGTGTTGAAATGTTTTGGTTGAAGTTAATATGATATAAAATAATGTAATGAACTCGTAATATATTGAATTGTGGTATAACTGTAAACAATTGGTAAAAATAAAATATAATTAGTTCAAATTTACTTAACTCCTTATATTATCAAATATCTATTGAATAGAAAAACCTGTTGAAATATTAAATGTAACAAGCTCTATTTTTAAAAGGCAGATGAATGTACAGCATGTAGGAATTGATGATGATTTTTAATAATCCTAAAGTAATAGTAAAGTCAACAATAAAGTATATTTT